CTGCCAAAAGTCTAAGCACTAGATTTGGCAGCAGTTTCACTATCAAATTCCTTTAACTCAGCAATATAAGCAATATAAGGAGAGTAAAGACATCTCAGATCTTAAATTAATCTGTATAAAAATATTTCTTAAAATTATGCATTTAAGGGACTGAGAACCTTTGCATTGATTGCAGAAAGTATGAAAATTGATAAACCAGTGACCTTCAGCAAACCAATTTAAAAAATACAGCTAGCTACAATACAGTTGTTCAGTAGAGCTCAGAAAAGGGTATTTCACTGAAAAACTACTATGGAAAAAGAGCATAAAAAGACTCCAGTCCTGCTTCCAATTAAGTCATAATGCATTTTACCATTGATTTTAAAAGCACCAACATCAGCCTGGAGACTAACAAAAGCATAAATAAATATAATGGCTATATGCATTATACATTAATGCCTGAGGAGCTTCCAACTTTGCTGTGATCTACTCAAGATTCTTCTGATCTACTCAGATGGGGTGAGTATTCAGACAACAGAAATGGTAGGAGGTATCAATCTTCTTTCACAATGATATGAAATAAAGCATCACTAACAGCACTACTCTCAAAAGAAGACTGTTTTTTGGATGAGAGAAACTGTTCTGGATGGACAGTGGAAATGATCCATATAATTCTGAACACAATTTCTTCATAGTTAGCCAACATCAAAGAAAAGTGCCATTTTTTACACTAGAAATATACATATTCATTAATTTCAAATTAATTGTTTTCTTCAGTTTCACTGTCTTATGGGCTCTTATCACTTATTAAGCATTTGAGTTTCTCTGATAGAAAAAAATGAATAGTTTACACACTTGTCAATTTTATAACAGCATTTGTAACACAGAACTACAAATGCAGGGTTTGGGGTTCACTCCATGTTTATTCACTGTAGCTTACTGTTATATCCATGTGGTTATGTATTGTTTATTGTTGTATTCTTGCATTGTATACATTGCACAGAAACAGAGCAATGACTATGCCCTCCTTTCAAAAATTCTAAAATTTCAACTACACCTTATGAGTTATGAAATACAGCACCTCACTTTTTTTTCTACTAACAACTCTTTCTCACCATTTTCTATGTAGGAATATTCAGGTCTAGCTACTGTGATGATGTGATCTTTTATTCTTAACTTCCATTTGAACTCAGGGCTGAAAAAACCCCACATCTGCTCCACAGCAAATTAAATTGAGATGTACAGCAAGAAATTTACATTTAGAAAGAAAAAGTGAACTTCTAATATGGCAGTAAATTGTTTTTGACTTTTCTGTCAAGGCTCTCTGGAGACAGTTTGATCCTGTTCTCCAGTACATTAGCCTCCATGCCCTCTACTATCAGAAAAAAAAATCATCTGCAATGCATACATATTACTTAATGATTTTCCAAAATAATTGGCAGTATGCATTGTGTATCAGCAAGCAGGTTTAAGTTCAGCTAGAGCTTTGCCAAACTCAAGGAAGCATAGCTATACAAAATGAAGATGAAAAAGAAAAATTGCAGTAGTGGAAAGCCAATTAAAGAAATTAAGTCGTCTTTAACATATTTGTATCTTCTGAGACTATAAGCATGGTCAAACTTCATACATTGGACATGAACCCAACCTGCTCAGCTCTCTTATTCTGTTCTAGACATACAGAAAAAGAGAATCACAACATTTTGGAACAGGATCTTGTAGAGCGTGCATCAAATATTCAAATCTTATAGGTTCTTCTCATTAGCATTCCTTGCCAATGGGTCAATGTTCAGGAATACACACAGTAAGGAATCTACTGAGAATAAAAGCAAAGATATTTTGCTGCATAACATACATCAAGGATATGACTTATTAAGACAAAACTCACAAAATGAGTAACTAAGAAGCTTCCTTATGAAATATTAAAAGTATGTTTTGTTCTCTAGCCAACCCTCCTGACATTGCAAACTGTCTACACTCCAAAGATGTCCCTGTCCATAAATATTGAACACATGCTCCTAATGTATTTGATAAACAATTTGGCACTGACACTTCATAAAAGACATTAAATATTAACATAGCTTTATGTCGGAAAGAGGACAAAAAAATCCTGTGGCTCTTACTTTTCTAATTTTCTTGTTTGTGTCTGGACAAAAGAACAAAGCACCAGAATGATTCCAACCATGTTTACTATCACAGCGTAATTTAAAATGAATATACCAATTATGTTAGCTACCTTATACGTATGCTATGTAGAGAAAATGACACATAGCTGCACCAATACATGCAAAAGAAATTATTAAACTAGTATACAAGGAAGACATTGTTCGTTGGTACACAATATCTAAAGCATCAAAAACTCTCTAACAAAAGCCCCTATATTTTTACCTCCCCAAATAATAAAAACCTGGATTATGATGCTAAGATTAATATTGGCATATATATGACATAAAAAAATTCTGCTCAAAATACAAGTCCAGTTCTTCTCTTCAGTATACTGACACTCCTATGAGACTATACAAACCTCATACTTCATTTCCTTACAGAAAACACAACTATTCTATTGGGTGATGCTAAATTTATTCAAACAAAATGCAACATTGTTGAAGAACTGATTGTGACCACAATTAGTAAAATTACAACATTTCATTCAAGCACCGAATCCATTGAAATTGACTGCAATTATCCATTAATAAATTACAAATGCACCATCTTTCTCTTTCCCATTACATTGTGCAAATCCCTATCCTTAAAGCAGGTAATCCAGTAAAAAGAAGGATTACTCCATTCTGGTTTTAGCCTAGATTGCTGTCATAGAAGCACCTAAGGCAATGGTACAATATTTTGTCTTTGGTACCAGCTAAAAATGCAGATAACATAAAAGTTTATGAAGTACAAGACTAAAATGAAACCTTTAAGGAATATACATTAGAAATTAAAGGACTGATTTGCCCCAACTTGCAGAATAAATAAAGAACCAAAATTAAGAGATAAGGAAGAAGCCTAAGCGAAACATCACACAAATGTGAAATGAAACAAGGGGTGTATTATAGCTACTGAAGAAAGCAGAAACAATATTGCATGTATCTAATATAGGTGTTAAAGTAATGCTGTAGTCTTTTTTACCAACCTGCCTGCAAGACTGGGATTTGTCTCACCCACCTCCAGATCCCTATAGCTGAGCTAATCAGACCAGGCTCCAGGCTTTAGGGTCAGTGGGCACAGCACTCATACGACTCATTTTTTGGAGTTTTACTTTTGGATGAGAATAATCATACCCTAGAAGTGCCCTTTTTCACCCCTGAGTGAAAAAGGGAACTCAGGGCAAGTTGGTGTAGGAGTTCATGTTGCAGAGATCCTCAGTCAGATGAACTGCACCACTAGTAAGAGAGGAGAGGGACAGGTATGTAGTAAATGAACACACACGCTCAATAAGTGCCAATAAAAAGAAGGAAAGAACAGAAAAAAAATATAGTAGGTGCAGCTGTGTGTTACCTCCTAACAGTAAATGAATCAGAAGGTCTAGTTCAAAACTACAAGAAATAAGAAGAATTAGGATAATCTAAACAGGGATTAGGAAGCATCCACTGCTAACAAGTAGAAGCTGATGTGAACCCTTAACAGCAATGTCTATCACCCTTACAATCATCTTTCGTAGCAGGAATCACTGTAACTCTGGATGCCTTTGTGGTCCATCTATCATCCTCATCCCAGAGAAAGGAAAAGATAACTCAGAAGGTGAAGGTTAGTAACAGTTTGATAATGGGCATCTATTTTATTCACTGCAAGTCCCTACCTCCTTAGGGGCAGAGAAAATAGCAACTGTGAGGTAAGAAGCGGAAGCAAGAGAGATATTTGTGCTAACTGCATAAGAACATTTAAAAACTTAAGCCCCTGGATACATAAACCAAGAAATTAATCCTGTTTTATGGGTTTAGAAATAATCCAGTTACAAAAATAATTCTATCCAAAGGTTTGCAAGAAAATTTACCTTTCAAAATGACAAAGTACCTGAAAATAGCACAGCATTTTTTTTCCAAACTAGATAAATTATCCCTGAAATTAATACTAAAGCAAGTTAAAAAAAATGTTGGATCTTGTTTTTCTTAGTATTCACACAATGATTTTCAGAATAAGTTGTCTCAAAGCCTGAGCTGCTATGTAGTTATAAAAGAAGGGACCAATGTGCAATTTACAGAGATAAATATCCCAATTATCAAGGAAATGCAGGAAATAATAATGCTGTTAGTTACCCTTTAAGAAATAAAATTACTTCCATGGTCCCATAACTTTTCCTTTTTGGCTTCTACAGATTTTATAGTTGTATAATTCTGCCTGTAACTGGACTGGCCAGGAACTAACGGTAAGATCGAACAAACAAAAATCCACTCTGTCCTCACATCAGACCTTTTTATCAAATTCAGCTGAAGTACAGATGTCCTTTAACAGTGGCAAGTTTATGTCAAACAGCCCTAACTGGCCTTTTAACATCGGGAGAGTTTCCCTGCTCTGCCCAGCGGTCCCTCCAGTTTTGGCTATCTGGTATCCTTCCGGCAGCACTGCAAACTGTCACTCCTCAGACTTTTAGGCGTTTCCAAAATATGCAGCTACCCAGCAATGCTGGCACCCAGAAGGGGCTCTCTTTTCTAGGACAAAAGCCAACATTTTGAAAGCAGAATGTGTTCAGCAATAGTAGAATACACCCTTTCAACATTTTCTTGCGCACAGAAAAGTTTCCCTTTACTTAGTGACCCACAGAGAAGCAAAAATAGATGTTAATTTGGACTGGAAAACTTGCACACCTAAGCCCAGATGGAGCTGTGACTTCTGTAGGTAAAGCAATATGAAATACGACAGTTTTCAGTTCCCACAGATGGCTATTTAATACAAAACACCTAAGGGAGTGCAGTCACGTGTAAACAGATACTATGAAGAAAAATTAAAGAGTAGATACTTAAAGCATGTTCAAAGATTCAGTTGACGAAAAATGTAATAAATGTAATGCAACAGCAGTGAAATCTTACTCTTCTAAAGCCTGAAGCATGTTCCCAGATTCTTCAAAGGACAGAATATCGATGATTTGATCATTCATAATTATATCTTCACTGAAGAGATCACCCGAATTAAACTGAGAATGCTCCAGTTTGTAATTTTGACTAGGCTTACGCTGTATCTCCTAAAAAAAAAAAAAAAAAAAAAAAAAAGGAAGTAAACTAGAAGTGAGCTTCAGATTAGAAAAAAAATGTACATCTAGAGTCTGATCTAATTTATTGCATGTAACTCTGGGTGAGAAGGTTCCTACTTATCATTAAACTGTACGTCTGGAAAGAGTATAAAGAAATTGTGCAATTCAGATACATATCTAAAAATCAAATAAACTACTTGTGTTTCAGGCTGAACTTTTTGCATACAACTGATCAAGAATACAAATTAAGAAATGAATGGAGAAGACGGAAGACTCTACATTTGACTTCAGCAGGCTTGTGAAAGCCTTCTAGGAGGTTATCTTCCACTATAAACTTTCTAAGCCAATTTTTAAAAAATTACCATGCCATACAAATTATATATGGCAAGATTACAGTATTACAAGGTGAACAAAATGAAAAACTAATCCCATGAATGATGGAAGTGACTCAGTTCACAGTTCAGTGAGACTCCCTTGACAGTGAGAGCTAATAAAATTACTGTTACTGTACAAAAAAAACCAGTATAAATATCTGATGCTAGGACCAAACTGGCCCTTTTTTATGGTTTCTTTATCATAGCTTTTTGTGTAAAAAGAAACAAGGCACGCCCTTTTCATTTAAAGGTATTATATTTTCAGGCCTAAAAGAAATAAAAATTGTTGATGGAGTAATTTTCAACCGCAGAAAATAAGGATGGAAATGACTTGTGAGCTCCTCTGGTCTGTCCAGAGGGACAGGAGATCCAACACCATCCAAGAGAAGGAGGGGTTCAAACCTCTGAGCACACCTCTCATAGAGGACTGCTCCAACCACTGTAATATTCTGATTGAGGTCTCTGGCTCCCTCTCATTGAAGCTGTTCTACTTTACATAAATACCTAAATAATTTATAGCAGCAAGGGCTGGAACTCAGGCCAACCTGATGAATATTTATCAGAGACTTTATTTTCTTTCTCCGGCCTAGGATGTACTGAAACACTTTCTCCAAACTAGCACAGTTTGGATACAGAACACTGAAAATGCTCCATCCTCAAAACCAACTGTTTTGCATAACAACGCAAGAGATTAAGGCAGATCCAAGGAACTAAGACCTAAATTCAAATCTTTATTCCTGATAATCAGAAATACAATTTGGACCCAAGTCTGCTGTACTTAACATAAGTGGTCTACTCCCTGGGCAACGGCTTATAACCCACAGAAAAAAGTTAATTAAAGTACTGTTACAGACAGTATGACTCACCTGGTTCTTACTATGGAAGCTCCATCTTAACATTTGGGTTCGGTAAACAATGAAAAAACCAGCACATGTCAATACAAGGGAAACAAAAAAAGCAACAAAAAACCCTGAAGCATGGATTGCATAGCTGTACGAAATCTGCAATAAAAAGACCATATATTAAAAATACATTTTAAATATGTATAAAGATCAGACTCAGAGATTATAACTGTAAGCAACATAGTAAATTATTTTTAAATGGCTTCACACAATTTCAGGGTTTCTCATCATTAGGTTACAACTACTACATTTTTATTATTTTCAAACAAGTACCTATTATTTATTGGCTGGATGGCTGCACTCAAAGAGTTGCGGTCAACGGTTCAATGTCCAAGCGGAGAGTAGTGACGAGTGGTGTTCGGCAGTGGCTGGTATTGGGACCAGTGTTGTTTAACTGCTTTGTTCACAGCATCGACAGTGGGATGGAGTGCACCCTCAGCAA